ACTTAATATTGGTGTTGATATCGTTATCACGGAAAAGATCTTCCCAAGGTATGGAATTGAATAATTTGTTAATATCTTCGTAATTTGATTTGAAGAAATCAAAAAAAGGTGGTGTCTGGGTTAGGGAGCGTGTGGCATTTGTGAATTTTACAAAAAAATGATAATGTAGGATGATGTGTATCCTTCTTTACAACGACACTATTATCTCGGATGACGTTTTCTATGAGAGAATCGTTACAGAGTATGAGATCCAAAATTCTGTTATTCGCATTCGTGATACTGTTGAACTGCATCAGTTCACAGAAGGAGAAAGTGTCAATGAGTTGTGATTTATCATTGTCTACATAGACAGGTTCCAAGAAATTTGAATTTCTTACCCACTGTACGTTAGGGCAATTGAAGTCTCCACATATCAAATATTTATTTTTGTCACCTACTCCATCTGATTTCTTAGAGCAAGTGGAATCTCGATCACGACGAAATATTCGGTAATGATTGGTGTCCATAACTTCGGAATCGTGGATGTTTTTATTCAACCAAGTTTCCGCAATACAGAACACATCAGAGTTATTGGATAGAGTATTCAGCTTGAAGTTTATGAGCTTAGTGCGTAGACCTCTGACATTTCATTAAAAAATTTCTAGGTCCATGAGAAGTCTATAGGGCATGATATCTTTGAGATTTATTGAATCTCAATTCATCAAATCCATCTCAATTCATCAATTCCAAGGCTCTTGCCTCGTCTTGTAAATATAAGTCGTTGGAAGTTTCTGGTGCACTTGTCGATTTCAAATTTCGTGATTCAGGTAAAACAACTCTCTTCTCCTCCTCAACTTCTTCTTTGCCGAAGTCCTTCAACTGATCAACAGTATGAGAGTCTCCGTTAATATTCGAAGTTGTGCCTTCAATTTCAGCATTCAGTTTCTTTGCTCTGGCATCATTTCGATGTTTCAGCAATATTTTCTGATCATCTCTATCTTCTCTGCTTAGATCCTGTGCGATATATATGTTTTTTCCATTGAGTTTGATGGACTTGCGAATGACTAGTTCTTTCGTAGCATATCTTGTGAATTCAATCTTCATAGGAGGTATTGGATTTCCATTTTTCAATCGATAAATGTTTCTTATATCGTACTCAGAGACTTGTATTAATAGGAGTTCATTCAGCTTATCGACTGTCAGTGATAACAAAGTGGTCGTGTTTCCAATTTCGAGTCCAAATACGAGTAAATTGTTGATTGGATGATAATGGTCTTCTAGTCGATTTTCGAGGAGAAATAATCATCGTCTAGCTAGAACTGAAACAACTCGCTTATTGGGCAGACTTCACCAAAGGAATAGACTGGGATTTTGTTTGGAAAACCATTCGAAACGCATGCAATCAACTAGCTCTGATACCATCCATCGCAATATAAATGAGAAGGAGAGTAAACGTGGAAGTGGATTCATTCGAACAGAACTTCTCGAACGTGGAAGACATAGCTTGTCTGCAAGCGACAAACATTTTTGAAGTCAATTGGTCTGAAGTTATGGTAACTAACTGCGAAATGGTTGCAATAGCCTCTACTAACCCCCAATTGGACGTGTTTGATGAACCAATTTTGGATCATTCACTAATGAGCCTACATGATCACACATACAAACCATATGGGTCACCCTCATTCAAGAATTCTAATGAAATAAGGATCGCCGTCAACTCACGAAATCTGATTCTTGATATTTATGAAAGTGTTATCTATATTGAGAAAAAATTCACACCAATTCCACTTAGACCTGCTATTCATCTAGTAATGCTCTTGCATTTTTATTCGATGAAATACAATATGGAATGGGTGGCAAACAGGTATGCATGGTACGAAAACCCAGCATCACTACTACGATGAAGAGTGTGATTTCTTACGGAGAGGTCAACGTGAAATTTCTAGAAAAAATTGGTTGCGACCCCGAAGATGGCAAGCAGATGCTCCTAGATGAAGATAGCAACGTTCTCAGCGACGAACTACCCCTTAAATATCTGATATGATTCGCCAAAAATTTGTCGTAGAGGTAATTTGAATATCAAACAAACAAACTCATATATTTGAGACGTGGACGCCGATGTGGAGATTAACAAAATTGAATGGAAGATAAGACATGTGATGCCGTCAGATAAGCAGAAATTCAAGCTTTTGCTCCGTTCGAATAAAAGTTCTTCGGCAAAACTGAGAATTGCATTCTGGATGTAGGATCTGTATGAGTTACCAACTATTCGTGAAACAGAATCTGACATTTGGGGTTGAATCTACCAATATCCTCGAGTGGCCTTAATGTATTATCATAGGCTTTCGAAATAATGATGATACTGATAAGTGATCTAGGGATATTTCACAAGTCACCCATGCAGGGGTGAACAATATTCGCCTGTATTTAAATTCTGAAGTTCACCCTTACGAGCGATAGAATTTGGATTCTGATAATAAATTAGATGCAGTAGCCTATTATGCATTTGATGATGAAGATGGAAAGCCCTTATTTCGAGTGACCATTGAAAATGAGAAAACTCCACCGCTCCGTGTGAGAGTCGAACTCACAAACTCTGGGTTACATGCTCAACGCTCTGCCAATTGAGCCAACGGGACATCCGTCGATCAATCGGCAGGAAGGTCTAGTTCTCATCACACACCAGGCGACAAAATCCTCATGGAAATATGAAGACTGTATAGTACCATCCTGCCAGCGATGCTTCGTAAAGTGCATGATTTTGAGTGACTTCGGGAATTGAAACTCTTTTTCAATAGAACTCACTAGAAGCATTGTTCAATGTTATTGCAAGAAATATACTGCTGTATGTGGTGAAATTTGTCATTATAGGAACACACACAACCCCTACTATAGTGAAGTGTTGCGCGAACGTGTCTTCAACTTCGTTCACGCTTTCAAGGTCAAGGCCTCTCTACAACTCAAGTTCACACACACTCACAGTCGCGCGGAGGTAACTCGTACAACCTGCTTTCATGGTCACTTCCTCTCGCCCCAAGGTAACCAATCTCCTAAATCACTCTGTGGAAACATTGCCATACGAGGCCAGTCCTCCCAAGGTCACTTTTACCCAAAGGCACTCTTGTTCAGGTCATCAATGCCCAAGATCGATGCTGCTCAAGGTCATCCTTTTTCAAGGTCACTTCGTCCAGGGTCAGAGGACAGTGATCTCGGGCAGAGAGCCAGAATCGGCCAATATCTTCTACTCATGCTCTCACAATACGCGACGTCTTTACAAAATTCACTCAAAGCCGACCCTATTTCTGACAAATCAGCCCAATCAGTTCTTAACACCTTGTTACTATATCCCCAACACTATAAAACTCCTATGAGAATACACACAGACAGTGGACGAGAATTTGACAATACTTCAATGAAAGATTTATGTACCCTCTACAACATCAAATTGAGATTTTCAAGCGTGAAACACTCTAAATCAATTGGCTCAGTTGAAAGATTTCATGCCCCTCTTTCAGAAATCATACAAGCTCACATGATCTGAAATCCACGAGAACATCCTTTCAACATACTGATATATGCAATAATATATAAAATTTCTTTCAACTGATTATCAACAGCTTAACAAAAATCAAACTATGAAATTTTCACGACGGAATTCATAGACTCACTGATAAAAATTGAATGGCTAACAAGATATCGATGAATTATCATGAACTTCAAATTTCTTACGAGTTTATCTGGCAACTGTGTGAGAATGTGCCTCTGTCATTTTGTCTGACGTAGACTCAAGAAAGAGCCCGATTAGTTTCAGTTTTTTTGTGTTCTGCTTTGCGTTCAACGTCTTTCGTTAGTGAATTTGAGATTATTGACGAGTTTTGGTATTTCACTCTGGTTTAGGTACTCAATGGGTGTAGTCATAGTGACAAGAACAGTAATGATTTCATTCGACATTCATTGACTGATTTGTGAACAGTGTTTTCAAAATGAATGATTTGGTGACATGATGAAAAACAAATTTCAGGACTGTCTCATTTCAGGTGAATTCATTTCGTCAACAAAATTTGTGTTATTATATTTTTCCCTCTATAGCTTGAACACACAATGGCTCTTGTTTTACTCTGTTCGATAAATCGATTAGGTACTTAGTATGCCATCAATGGTATTTTCAGATCTTTGATATCACAATGACATTCGTTGTGTTATTGTTCCACGAAATCACATCTCCTATGAATATATCTTTCAAGCCATGACAGCTCTGCCTAATAGAAGAGCATTACTCATGAGAAAATGCTAATTTCTCACTCGTATGATTTATAGCATACGTTTTTGTTTGAATTTAATCAACTCGTAAACGAAGCTCCAATTTGAAATTCCACTACATCAGTTCTCAGAATGGAACAGGGAATTTGGGAAAATATCTCAATTCTGGAGAATTTCCATTAGTCTAATGAATAGTTCGGACATAAAACAACTCCCCTGTATCTTCTCCACTAGACAATTTCGACAAAACTAAGTTGCGTCAAACAACGACCAGAGTAACCATTCCATAAGTATTCACACCAAATTTTGTTTCATGTCCTAAGAATTATAGTAAGAAAAAGATTTCCAAAACTGGACTTGAGAGCGATGAATCTTCCTGGAAGAGCTATTCCAAAAAAAATGTATATTCATGTCGCTTCATATTTCGAAGAACCATGATGAAGTATTGCTAATATAGCCTGAACTACCCTGAATATTAGCTCGCTCATCTCTATTCAATAAACACTTCAGTTGATGGAAAATACATTGAACATAAAGGAATTTATCATAACAAATATTATATGAGTTTCTCACAATGTTCTGCTCTTTCAAGAGAGCCACAAAAACCTGGTAATCAAACAGTTCTGAATCCGCCCCTGGCATGATCGCGTCTCCACTGCGAATGCTCACATTTGCCGAGCGAGCCACGTTAGGGAACACTCGGATAGAACGATATTGGCCTCCTAGGTCTTTGAGTTCTGTGAGGAAATCTCGGAAAATTGCCAGAGCACCTCAATATATGGCCGAAATTCATGGTGAGTAACTGTCGCAGAACCATTGCATGTACATACATACAATCACCTGTATAGACGGAAATAGAAGAGAGGAATAATGTACAAGAACCCCATTCTCAAAATGCAGTTAATTTGCAGCGTATTCGTAGGAGATACAAAAATTCAAGTTTCCTCAAGAAGTTCATCAATGCCGATGATTTAGAAATGGCCAAACACAAGTTGTAGCAATATTCAAGAGACCTTGATCACAGCTTACCTTCTTTACAACCCTTCGTTTCCACGCACATTTCATGGTTCACCTACGCCACAATCACCCTCGTATTCGAACTAATCCTTATTCACTTGTTGTACAAGTGTGGTCAAAGGAGAAGACACCTGACAGCAATCTCACCAGGTGATCACCCGTATTCACCTCAAGAACCAACGAAGCCTCTTCAAAGATTCACCAGGTATCTACATAATGTCCTGAAGAAGCGACCCAGTATCCACGAAGAAAAAGAAGGAGTAGAACTTCAAGGAATCTGAAAGTTGTAACCAAAGCAAGCAAATATTGCGAATAATGGGAAGTTGTTATATGGAGACTCCATAGGAGCCCATTGTTCTCCAGAGGTCACCTTCATCCAGTGTTCACCAGGCACCACAAATATCTCCTTGTGACGCAGAAGACGAGGCCTCTAATTCAGCAGCTTCTGGAGCTTCGTCACAATATTTCATTGTTTTCTGCTCGAATATGAGAGCTAGAATTTTCAACCAGTTGGTTAGTCGTACATGAAGTCATACCAGTCGTACTAGTGGTCGTACTTGAGTCATCGTAGTACACTCACTCACTATATTGAATCATTGACACACACGAGTCTTCTCAGGTGTCGATTTTTGTAACTATATGTTTGTAAACGCTATTCTGATGTTGATGTTGATGTTGATGTTGATGATGATGTAAATTGAATCTTTGATGGTGAAATCACCCTGTTTGATGGAGTGTTCCCTATGAAGTCTATTTTGGAAAAGGTGATATAACATTGATATCTAGTTTTATTCATTTATATTCGTCATTTTATCTATATATTTCTCATACTTTATGTAACATTTATACTTCCACTGACGTTTTATTCCTTTTTATTCTTATTACTATTCTGTTGGTGTGTAAACTGATTTGAGGAGATGAAGAACCCATTATTATTTCATTATTACTATTATGAAGAAGAACATCGCTTGTAGTCCCTAAGTCACCATCGACAATAATCACACCCTGCATTACGGCATAAATAAATTCATTTATTAACTTTTCAAAGTCGAATAATGAGTATGCATTCATAACAGACAGTTGGAACATGAAATACTCATAATACACCCAAAATCATGAAACTCATTCTCTCAATACATTTGGAACAAGTGTCCTCGACCTTGGTCAGTTTCAGCCTCTGGGAATTAGCATTGTAATTGCGATATTCATTATTAAAGTGGCCTTCAGAGGCTGACAAGCCGGCAGAGAATCACTACTCCTAATGACGTCGATTGATCTTTGTATATTTTTGTGAATACTTGACGAGTGAGTGATTTATGTTTTTCTAATAAAATTCCTAATTCTCACATTCAGGTATAGCACCGATGAAGGCTGATGAGCCAAGAGCACTCTGCAATTTCATGATAAAATGTCGCCAAGAAATACAAAATGTCCTCATGAGAGTGATAAGTTACGTGTATGCAGCTGGTAAAATTTTTCATATAATGGAAGTGACCGTTTCATGAAATATACAGGTCATGCGTGTCAAAGCATTGGCAGAGAGTTTGAAGAACATATTGCTAAGTGTTGCCTAGCATATCCTCAGGTCTAGTCACCATGAAACTTCAGTTCACTCAATCAAACAGTTCGGAAATATACAATTCTTTTACACTTCCTTGTAATTTCTGGAAAATATCTCTCAAGATATTGAGGTTCCTCTGGATATTGGTATGATATTTCATAATCATTCGAGATTTGATAATGACCAAAGCTTTGAAAGCTAAATCTATAAAAAAATGGGATAAGAGTTTCCTACACATTGATTTTGTTGCAGATAGAGCAACAGCATGAGCAAAATAGAGGTACGTCCCAATTTTCTTCTCAGAATCGACTTATTATGGCTTATGAATTTGTTCATGTCATTAAATTCAACATCTCCAGACTCGAAATGTTCATGATCAGATTTCAAAATGAAGAAAGGAACATTTCGAACAAGCACTATTACGCAAAAAATATATGTATTGAGTGTCATGGTCTAGAACATCTTTGATGAATTTCAATGCACTCACCTCAGAGTCAAATCCTTATAGAGAAGTTGTTTCCTTATCATGAAACGATGAGCTAATATTTTCGTGACGTAAATTCCATTATTACATAGATCTATTGTGGGCTGCACTAATTCTCTCCAGGGTACACCACCTCCAAATCTTTTATAAAGATGCCAGTATCCACGAAGTTCACCTGGAACAGCTGCAGCTCTTCCACCTTGAAGAAGAAACAATTGCACTCGATTGAGATCATACATGGAATGTGAATGCGGCTGAATTCAAATATGAATATTTCTCCGACACCAGTTATCATTCGTTCTGATATGGTAATCAATGCAAACTCTGAACAAAGGTAGATCGCAAGGTCAGAGTCCATTGCGCCTATCCTCCTACAGAGCTCTTGCCATATCAAGAATCAAGCGCCAGTTATTATTGGAATGAGAAGTAGATTCTTGGTATCCGTATTTTTTTTTGTACAAGTATATCAGGAGAGGTAATCACTACCCATCCTCTAATTGCCTTGCTGGATACGGAAGAATATCGAAAATACTACTGTGTTGTGTGACGATCGAGATCATGGATATCTCATAATCGAAAAAGCTCTGGTTTGAGGGATGATTTCGAAATTTATCCATAATATTCATGTGATATAGCTGTTATCAAATAAATAGCAAAAAAACTATATGTAATGAAAAAAAAACTATAGAACTATATGATTCATCAATTTCAGATGGGCCAACTTATTTGTTTCACTCACATAATGTTAACGATATAGGTAGTAGCAATAAAAGTGAATCATGATGGATTTGAATAATCCACGATAATCGTCAACCCAACCGTATGATTCGATACTTTTTGCGATACTGGTTCCACATGTACATGTTACATAGTAATACTGTCCCTCAATTCCTTGCAAGCTCTTTTGTGATGTGCAGAATCGGAGTTGAATGGTTTGATGCATGAAAACAGGAATGAGGTGATGATAAATTACTTGATAAATGTATTCGAAAAAGAAAAATCATTCGCATTGAATATCTCAATTTCGCATGCGCCCAATTATAAAAATTGATGAATTGGAATGGAAATGAGGGAAAAAAACAAAGAATCAAGGTTGTTACGGGGTGTCAAACCATTTCGAATTGGTCATGTCGAGGTAGCGACGTAGAAAAAAGTTACAGTCATCTTCAGAGATCATGTCGCGGTTGCACGGTGTCGAGCTCCTGCAGGCAATAGGGGGGTCTAGTTGGGGTTTGTGCAGACTTTCCCAGGTGCACAAGTGTCGACAATCACCGAAAGATGTTGTCGTCAAAGTTTTACCACAACACCTGTATTATTTCTACCCATTTCACCTGTTCACCTAGTCAATTGCAATTAACCTTGTCACCTGTGTGTATATTTCACCTATAGGCGTTCATGACAAAAACAGAATAGTCATGTGTCAACCGAGCTCCTTAAAATGAAGCTACTGAAACGAGTTGAAGTGGTTAAAAAATTATTCGTTTTTTTTACAGTATTGTTACTTTTTGAAAGTGTTCTGAGTTGTGCAGTGAATTTGAAATTGAGAATTTGGTCCTGACTCGAGAAATTGTAGAGGAAATTGAATGGACAGTTGAACAATCTGTTGATAAATATATTGAACACGATTTCTCTATGAAAACCAGCGTGAACAATGTGACTGAAGCCGCCGTTGAAACTATGGAAAAGATAATGTCAATTAGAAGCGACAATGGCGGACCTTAATTTATACGGAGCTGAAATCAGACTACGGAAATAAAATGGAGACCATGGTAACTGAAATGAGAGAACTCAATTCACATGAAAAAAAAGATGTGGGAAATGGATCAGGAAATCAGAAGAACAAACTTGAGAATATTCAGCTTCAAGAAGAAACAACAAGAAAACACAAGAGAAGAGATTATCAAACTCCTCAACTCAAAGATGTCTCTGGATTCGTCAACTAGAGATATCGAAATGTGCTACAGAGTTAGTGGACGGACTGATGGAATTGGAATTGTACATGAACAATATAGAACTGGGAAATTCATAAGTCCACACAGGGGATATAAATATCAACTTATCACAATATGATCCACATGAGACACATATATCACAATATATTGAATTGGAAAGGTTTCATATTATATGAGATGAAACAATAGTATACCATATATTTATGAGGAATGTTGACTCCATTGATAACATCGAAATCCGATCATTTATTATCCACACTAATGAAACTGATAATTCCACGCCATTGATCACAAATCCTTCCGAGAATAAAAATGAAAACATCAGAGTTCCGGAAGTCAGTTATAAACATACTTTTCACTGGAGCATACTATTGTCTGCAAGAATTTTATAATGACACAGACAATAACAATTATTATTAACACTACACTGTTTTACCACTAACCGAACCCATTTTTTAACGCCTCGACACGTGTTTCGCTAACTATGTTAGCATCTTCAGGAGAAGATCAAAACTAAATATCCTATTCTAGTGTGCTGCTTATATACTAGGTATATGTTCACCCAACTGTGAAAAATACTAACCGTCAAGTTAATGTTTGTCATGGTTGAGTTCACTATACTATATAGAAAGCTATATGGAATAGGTCCATTATCCTTATTCATTACTCTATTACTATTCTTAAATATTTCCAAGCTTTCATATGCGTCTAGTTTTCTAATGTTATTAACTTGCTTAACTAATTTTAGGTTAGTAATATGTGTGTTATGATTGTGATTGAACATATGTTCGGCTACACAAGATTTATCTAACCTGCCATATTTTAAATGGGCTATGTGTTCTTCGAACCTTGTTTTTATGGGTCGCCTGGTTTGGCCTATATATGTTTTATCACAATCATTACAACTTATTTCGTATATTCCCGACTTTTCGAGTGTGTCCACTTTATCTTTCGGATTGCCTAATAAATTGCCTAATTTTGACCCAGACTGATAAACGCTTTCAAAACCTAAGTCTTTGAAAACCTTATCAAGTCCATTCGTATACTTGGGATTGACCGGGATTGGGATTCTTCTAGAGTTCTTTTTATCCACTTGAAAAGTCGTAGAATTTCGAAGTGTTAACCTAAATTTATGTCAACGTATTAATTTATCTACTATTTTGGTCATATCATACCCATTGACACCAGCCACTTTATAAACAACACCTCTTTCAGCATTGAATCTTTCTTTGCTCAGAGGAAATGAAATCAATCTGTGTACTAGAAATCTTGTGTAGCCGGACATATGTTCAATCACAATCATAACACACATATTACTTACCCCAAATTAGTTAAGCAAGTTAATAACATTAGAAAACTAGACGCATATGAAAGCTTGGAGATATTCAAGAATAGTGATAGAGTAATGAATAAGGATGATGGACCTATTCCATATAGCCTTCTATATAGTTTAGTGAAATAAAAGTTGAGATTGACATGTGAACTCAACCATGACAAACATTAACTTGACGGTTAGTATTTTTCACAGTTGGGTGAACATATACCTAGTATATAAGCAGCACACTAGAATAGGATATTTAGTTTTAATCTTATCCTGAAGATGCTTACATAGTTAGCGAAACACGTGTCGAGGCGTTAAAAAATCGGTTTGGTAAGTGGTGAAACAGTGTAGTGTATTATCGTGCCAAAGGTTCCAGTCTTCGATATAAATTATTATTAAGAGGCCATATGCCACTCGAAATTATTCGAATGTTATCAGTTTTCTGTCTTAGCCCTTTCACTCCGAAAGGGGCGGGATCAACCTGAAGAATTCCTAGAAAGCTGGAATCGTATGTTTATCGAGCGGCACGTCGAGGGCACCGAAAATGACGTAGCGCGACACCGTCTTGGTTACTTTTTGCCGCTCACTGACAACCGGTTGATTATTCATCGAAGGCAGTCAAATGGTCTCATAATTACTAATATTTTGAACTTTAGTCAGTTCATTTTTGATTTTTGGCGCTGGTGATTAGATATTTTGTACATTTTTGATTATATTATCTACAGGATATTTTCGAAATTAGAGCAATACATACCAAATATGGAATGTTGCATATTTTTTATCGCTAGGAGCGCACGGATCCGCATCTAAGGAGGACAGGTAGAAGAGATGGGTATTGGATTTTTCTATAATTTTTGGAAAACATACCTGAGTGCTTGGAAACACTTCCTCAGACAATGAATCCCAGAACTTTGCCATTCTACAGACAAACGAGATTTGATAAAGTGCTGTTCGACATATTTCGAGCTTGACCACGACACGATGTGTTGACTGGGCTTGTCGAGTTCGTCTGACTGGTATACTGCTAGTGATGGAATGATATCAGAGATTTCTGAAGAATATTTCCCTTGGAAGTATCTATATGGAAAAGTGGGAGGTCGCTGACCTTTTACCTCGCCTTTAACGGTGTTGTATGTTTTGGTGCTGAACCCCATATGTGGGAACAGGATTCTAGAACAGGCCGTATCTGTGATTTGTAAATTATGAGAAGTTGTTGAGATGTAAAGTAGCTTTTCGCAAGAAACAGAAATCCGAGTTTTTTTGGAGCAGATTTCGCGCCAATGGATCTTATCCCCAGAAAAATCTTTGCTGATTGAAATACCGAGCATAGTTATAATGTACTTGGTCGAAATAGTGGCATCAGACATTGTTATATCAGGCACTAGTAGTGTTGCCGTCTAGACTTATACATTCTAGACTCTTGTCTTGTCTTGTCTAGAATATCAAGACAAGATCATCAATATGTCTTGTCTAGATTATCTAGACAAGACAAGACTTTCATTCAAAACTCTTGATTATTTTCAAATCTATATTACAAATACGTCGTTTCGCTGGCGCGGCTATGATTTGTTTTGATTGGTTCCCAGAGAGCGGGAGTTTGCATGCACTCGACTGTTTCTACGCAATTTAAGCTAAGCGTCTTATCTAGAGTCTTGAATAAGAATCTAGATTTTCGTTATCTAGACAAGACCGCACTTGGCTTATTTAATCGAGACTTACGCGTATACAACTCTTGTCTTGAAATTTCAAGACAAGACAAGAGTATATAGGTGAACTCTTGTCTTGTCTTGTCTAGATGGCAACACTATATAGGCACTAGCTGACCTGGCAAACATTGTTTTGTCATAAACATCATTTCTAAAAAATATTTCTTAAGGTAAATATGTATCAACACACTTTTTCTATTTTATTTTCTATACTTCTCTT